CCCGCCAGGGACATCGCTCATCGCCTTCCCGGAGCACAAATCCCGAATTGGGCAACTCTGGAAAGGGCTGAAGGGCAGTGATTACCCCTCGCGGTGATGTCCCCGCGCCAGGATGGCCCAGTGGCCTCCAGCAGCACCAGTGGGATGCTGGTTTCATACTGGGTGTAAGGATTAGGGTTGTGGGTTGGGAAATCCCAGGGGATTAGGGGTTCAGGGACCCCAAAAGAGGAGGATTTATCAGGATCTCCCAGACGTTGTCAGCCAGGGCACAAGCTGCAGAACTGCCCACTAACACCAGTGGATACTAGTATCATACTGGGAGCAAGGAGCAAGGCTGGAGGATGGGAAAGCTCAGGGGACTGAGGGGTTCAGGGACCCCCAAAATTGTTCCCTAAACGGGGGGGAATTTATCAAGAATACCCTCAGATGATGTCAGCCATGGCAGAGGCTGCAGAGCAACCCACTAACACTTAACACCAGTGGATACTGCTTTTATACTGGGAGCGAGGAGCAGGGAGGCAGACTGGGAAATCCCAGAGAACTGGGAGTTCAGGGACCCCAAACCTCACCCCTAATTGAGAGAGGTTTATCAGGGGCACCTTCAAATAATGCCAGCCATGGCAGAGGCTGCAGAGACACCCACTAACACCAGTGGATACTGGTTTCATACTGGGTACAAGGAGTAGGGCTGCAGGTTGGGAAATCCCAGGGGATTGGGGGGCTCAAGGACCCCAAATACCACCCCCTAAACGGGGAGGATTGATCAAAAGCATCCCCAGATGACGCCAACTCCTGGGGCCCCTCTAAGATTTAACACCAGTGGGTACTGGTTTATCAGGACTCCCCAGATGATGTCAGGGCACAGGCTGCAGAGCTCCCCACTAACACACGAGTGGATACTGGTTACATACTGGGAGCAAGGAGCAGGGCTGCAGGCTGGAAATCGCAGAAGATTGAGGAGTGTTGGAGACCCCAAATATCAACCCCTAAAGGAGGAGGGTTGAATCAGAGGCACTGCCAGCTGATGCTCCTCACTAACACTTAACACCAGTGGATACTGATTTCATACTGGGAGCAAGGAGCAGGGCTGCAGACTGGGAAATCCCAGGGGATTGGGCATTCAGGGACCCCAAACATCATCCTTTAAGTTAGGTGGATTTATCAGAGGCAGCCCCAGATGACACCAGCTCCTGGATCCTTTCCTACCAATTAATATCAATGGATACTGGTTTCATACTGGGCACTCCCCCAGCAGCCAGGGCAGCTCTTAGATCTGCTCCTGCCTGTAGAGCTGGAAAAACAAACCCCAACCCCCCAAATTTGGGGGTACAGACCCCCAGAGGTCAGGGATGGCTGCAGAGAAGGGCACAGCAGGCAGAAGTGGTTATCAAAATATTTTATTTCAGGGAGATCCCTCCAAAAAAAAAAAAAAAAAAAAAAAGAAAAAAAAAAAGAAACCAGGGAAAACTGAAAGGAAGAAGGACCCTCCTGTCAGACAGACATGCCCACAACACCTGCAGGGCTCCTGGGGAAGCAACTGAAGCAATCCTCTGCTCCAGAGATGATTTCCCAAGGGGATTGAGGCAGGATATATAGATACTGTGCTCCTGGGGGAGGAGGGGATGTTGCCAGCAGCTCTCTCGGCACACAGGAACTAGAACTGCATTGCTGAAGACACTCACCACACAGCAGGGCTAACTAGGAGAATACAACTCGAGGCTAGCAAAGAGGAGATGGGAAAGAGAGACAGAGAGAGAGAGAGAGAGAGAGGGGAAGTGGGAACATCCCACAGGCTTAGAGTCCTCTGTGCAGAATTGCCAGGGAGGCAGAGCCCTCGGCCCTCACAGCCTCCTCCAGGGTTGTGTTCTCGGTGGGTGTTTTAAAAAGAATCACAGCCAAAATGAAGACAGAACTGCAAAATCCCAACGTGGCTGTTGTTCCACTAGTTATAAAAACATCAGCAGTCACTCCCTGGGCACTGCCCACTATACTTTTCCTGGGATTTTGGCCCTCTTGCGGGCGATGGCATCTTCCACCGCCTTGAGCTGCTTGAGGAGCTCCTCCCGGCGGGACAGGGTGCTGGACTTGCCCCCCTTGAGGCTCACGGGCCCTGGCTCAGAGCCTTTGCCTGGGACACTTGTCACTTTGCTGGAGCTCTTGGATTGAGGAGACAGTTGGCGTTTCCTGGCAGGGAGAGAAAGGAGAGACAGGTGAGAGGAGCTGGAAACCAACCCCATGGTCACATGCGCTGAAGGAATCAGGAATGAAGGTTGTGAAGACCTCCAAGTTCATCAGGTCTAAGGTTTAACTGAATCCCACCATGTCCACTAAAACACATGGAATCATGGAATGGGAGGGATGTGAAAGCTCATCCAGTGCATGGGCAGCAGCACCTTCTACTAGCCCAGGTTGCTCCAAGCCCCATCCAACCTGGAACACTTTCAGGGATGGAGCAGCCACAGCTTCTCTGGGCAACCTGTGCCAGTGCCTCAGCACCCTCACAGGGAGGAATTTCTCCCTAATTTCTGATCTAAACTAAACTACCATAAAATGCCACATCTACCATTGCTCCAAAAGCTGATGGGAGGGACAAAGTTGGAGACACGAGACCGTGGGTTGAAAACTGGCTGAAACAGTAAAAGAATCAGCTGTTCCAGGGAGATCCCAGGTTAAACTTGGCACCATGGGCTGTGCCAGCTTGTAGCTGCAGCTCACTGTGGGTAAGAGAGACACAGAAGGGAGAGCAGCCCTGGAGCATCCCCACAATCCCGAATCTTGACAGTCCATTCCCTGTGATGCCACTGGGTCTTTTGCTGCTCTGGAGAAATCCAATGTGCCCATAATTCCATCCCAGCTGGCCATGCAGAGCATTAACACACCATGTGGCACTGCCAACATGAGGAGCAGTGGGATTAGAAGGTCAGGAACCACAGGTGTGGTCACCACCACTGGCCTGGAATGACTGAGGTTCCTGTCTCTGCTGGTAAACAGGGCCTAAGGGAGGACAAGGCTGTGGCAGTGGGGTGAGGTTTGGGGTTGGGAAGTCTCTGGGACGTGGAATTTGAGGCTCACTCATGACCCAGGCGAGGTAGAAGGGGATGGAATGAGTCCTGCCAAGGAACACTGAGGTGGCATTTGCTCCCAGAGACCCTTGGAGAGATGACACTGGAAAAATAAGCAGCACTGGCTACAGGCAGGGAGGACTGAGAAGCTTCAGGTGTGCCACAGGTGCTCCACAACCATTCGGGCACACATTCAGTCCTGCACTGGGATATTCCCAGCATGGCAGTGGGCACAGACTGCCAGGAATCTGGAGCTGAACTGCTCATCTGTCACCTCGGGGGATGGGGAGCCACAAAGTCAGGGCTGTCACCATGCTGTCTCATGCAGGGGACACATTTTAACATGCCATAGCAGCAAGGTGAGCAGCTGAGGATATGGCGGGCTGGGAAAAGCAGGAATCAGGCACTGGAATCAGATGCCATGAGGAGTTGGGCAGTGGGTGAAGGGGTTGTCCTCTCTGGCTCATTAGCACTACATTAACAATCCACAGACTGAGCTCACACCTGACCCACTTGGCTCCTCTTGCTGGGAATGACCTCAGGAAACCCCTAGGCTCCTGCTCAGCTCCAAGCTGGAATGGCTCAGCACCAACCCCTGAGCACCTCTGGCTCATGGAACCCAGAGAGCCTTTGGAGCTGCCCTGGAAGGAGGGACTGAGCCCAACCTGGCCCACCCAGGCCCAGGAGAAGCAGCAGCACTCACCTGTCTGCCTGTGCAGGTGAAGGTTTTGTGTTCTGGCCCCTCTGTCGCTCCTGTTTGGGGGATGAGACTTTCCCAGTCGCCTTCCTGTCACGAGAGCCTGTTGGGAGAGGAAAAGGAGAGATGTTACTGCTTGTCACCCTGGAAGGAGGGACTGAGCCCAACCTGGCCCACCCAGGCCCAGGAGAAGCAGCAGCACTCACCTGTCTGCCTGTGCAGGTGAAGGTTTTGTGTTCTGGCCCCTCTGTCGCTCCTGTTTGGGGGATGAGACTTTCCCAGTCGCCTTCCTGTCACGAGAGCCTGTTGGGAGAGGAAAAGGAGAGATGTTACTGCTTGTCACCAAGGCACCACTCTCTGCTCTGCCTGATGGTCTCAGTGCTCTCTGGAGAGCAAGGAAGGAACCCACTGCTGTCCCCCACGCTGGGGGTGCAAAGCAGCCACTCAGGGGTGTGCTCCACATCACCTGTGCATGACACCAGCTGTGGGGAGGGCACTGGAATAAAGCTCCTCCATGGCATTTTAGGCCTGCAAACCTGCTGTCTCTGCACTGGCTAGGGAACAGGATGTATTGGTTCCAAGAGTGCCAGGTGAGTGCAGCTCTGCTGCTTCTGGAGCCAGCTGAGGCCAATCCACAGGCATCACCCACTGTTTGCTCAGGGTGCTGCTCTCCCCCAGAGGAGCTGCTCTGGGGACTCAGGGATGGTGGGAAGCTCCTTGGGGTCCTACAGGACTCCAACCACTGCTGTCCCAGGGCACAGAGTGGGAACTCTACCTATGTCCCTGCAGGGATGCCTGTGAGCTCTGCTGTCCTGCTCTGAGTAGTGATGCTGTGGCTGCTGACCTCACTTGAAGCAGCACTGCAGACAGCACAGGTGCTCAGTTCCTTGTGGCAGCAGCCACCTGTGGTGCCAGGGCAGCTCTCTGCTGCCCAGGATGGACACTGTGAGAATGCCCAGGCTGTGGCCACCACAGATCCTCAACAGGTGAAAGATTCAGGGCACCATTACTGACCACCTTGGTGCTGGGACACTGAGGGGCTCAGCCCCAACTCAGCCAAGGGGATGTTTGCCCCTGGGATTTGAGGCTGAAGGGCCTGGATATCCCTGGAAGTGTTCCAGGCCAGGTTGGTTGGAGCTTGGAGTAACTTGGGCTAGGGGAAGGTGTCCCTGTCCATGGCAGGGGTGGAACGAGATAAGTGTTAATGTCCCTTCCAACCCAAACCATTCCATGATTCCAAATGGTTTAAGTGGGCATGGTGGGATTGAGTTAAAACCTGGACTTGACCTTGGAGGTCTTCCCAACCTTCATTCCTCATTCCACCAGAGCACATGCCAGAGGGGTTTGTTTCCAGTACCTCTCACCCTGCCAGGAAACAGCTTAAAAAGTGCTTTATAACACCTAAACAAGAAAAAGTCCATAACGACATCTTTGCCAGTGGCAGCAAGTGTGCTGAGTTGGCTCACTTCTGTGCAGCTCAGCACCTGCTGTGAACTAGACCCCAGTGAACTTCAACCTCACCCAGTCCCTTCCACACTGCCTCTGCAGGAGTTGAATGCAAGCAGGTTATTAGCTCAGAGATCTTTGCTGGCTGACACCCAGAGTCAACAAGATCCACCTACAGCCCAACCACCAGGGAAAACAACATCACGTGGCAGCGCTGGCTCCGACGTCACCATCAGCACTGGCTGCCACCCAACCTCACCCCCCGAGCCCTCCGGCACTGACAGCAAGGGCTGCAGGGTGGCACTGAGCTCACTCTCTGTGCTTCTCCAGCTTGGTCTGCCCAGGTGTTCTTGCTGCTGGTGGGGGTTCAAGGCCCAGGAGAAGCCTTGGAAAGCCTTTGTCTTTCTAAACATCCAGGGCAGATTGGATTGTGTCATGGCCAAGTGAAGAAATCAGCTCATTTCACAGGATGGGTGATGTAGGCAGGTGTTGCATCCATCCATCCATCCATCCTGGGGCCTTGGCAGCCTCTGCTCCCTTTCTAAGCACCGCCACAAGCCTGTCTGGCAGGACTGACATCCCCTGGGATGCATTGGAATACAAGCCAGAGAAAACTCTGGGATATAGTAAACACTATGACTTAGAATCATGGAATGGTTAAAGTTGGAAAAGACCTTGAAGACCATCAAGTCCAACCACCAACCCAGGGACCTGCACTCTGTGCACTAACCATGTCCTCAAGTGCCACATCCACATGGTCTTCACCACTTCATGGATGGTGACTCCATGACTGCCCTGGGCAGCTGTTCCAATGCTGGACCACCTTTTCCATGGAAAAAAATTTCCCAAGTATCTAAGCTAAGCCTCCCCTGACCTCCACAGCCACATCCAATGACTGCAGCAGTGAACAGGAGGCCATGGTGGGGTGGATGTGGATCTCCAGCAAGAGGTGAGAGTGATGTCTTCAAGGCAAGGGAGTTATTATCTTGGAGAGGACTTACACAGACACAGAGGAGCCACATCAGGCACAATGTGCCCCACAGGACAGTCTGCCCAGGGCTGCCCTCACCAACCTCCACCATGGTTTTGCAGCAGGATGGACAATGCACCCCATTATCTGTGATTGCCACCAGCAATCACAATCTCTGAGGGTTTGGAAGGACACAGGACTGTAATTAATGATTCCAGGGACTGCATTCTTGCAGTGGAGGCTTTCATGGGACATTTGCTGCCCAAACACAGAGCAGGAGTCCATCCAGGCCAGGAGCCCCAGGATGGCTCATGGCTCACCTCTGTCAGGGGACATGTTGGCTCGTTTGGCTGGAGGAGAGCTTGGCCTGTCTTTGTCTGTTGGCTCATATCTCTTCCTGCTTCCTTTGTCAGCTGCCTGGAAGGGAATAAAACAGACAACAAAGCTGAGCAGCCACACCTGGGAAGGTATTCCCTGTGATGGTGCTCAGGATGTGCTACTTGGTCCATGCAAACACCTCTTTGCACATCCATCACTGGATCCATGTCATTCCCAATCACCAGAACCCAGCTGGGGCTAACACTGAGCTATTTTCAGACTGGAAACAGGCAACCAGCAGCTTTTGGGGCTGTTTTTCCAGCAGCACCAAGGAGAGCAGATTTCAAGGAGGCCTGTGGAGCTGTGCCTTCCTTCAGGCTCTGAGGGTGCTGGAGTTATGTGTCACTGCACACTCATCTCCATGGGAGTGCTTCCCGATCCTGATAAAGCCACTCCAACGTCAGAGCACAGGGAAGTAGGGAAATTTGCAGCCTCATATTGTGCTGGGGGAATTTGGGCCGTCAGAGCCAAACATTAATGCTTCAAAAGCAGGAACCTGCCCACGTGCCTGAGGCCAACACCCTGCCCAGCACAGAGCTCTCCCACAGGATCTGGATTGGATGTCAAGCCAAGGCTCCACACCATGGCAGTGGGATTGGTGGGAAAGGGGAGAGCCAGGTGAGCACCCCTCAGGGAGGTGAGGCACTCACCACTGTCACCTCCTGACTCAGGGAATGCGCTGTCAGCAGCTCACTGCAGCTTTAGTGGGAGGGGAGTGCTTGGGAATGAGCACTGGTACAGGTTGGGCACTGACCTGCTGGAGAGCAGGTCTGTGGAGAAGGACCTGGGGGTCCTGGCGGACAACAGGCTGTCCATGAATCAACATTGTGTCCTTGTGGTCAAGAAAATCCTGGGATGCATTAGGAAAAGCATTGCCAGTGGGCCAGGGAAGTGATCCTGCCCCTCCACTCAGCCCTGGTTGGGCACATCTGGAGTACTGTGTCCAGTTCTGGGCTCCTCAGGACAAGAGGGACATGAAGCTCCTGAAGCAAGTCCAGGGACTGGAGCACCTCACTGATGAGGAAAGGCTGAGGCAGCTGTGCCTGTTCAGTCTCAAGAAGAGGCTGAGAGGGACCTCATCAATGTATACAAGTATCTGCATACATTTTGTATACATATCTGTACATGAGCACTTGGGGGTGCCCAAGAGGATGGATCAGGCTCTGCTCAGTGGTGCCAACCAATAAAACAACAGGCAGTGAGCACAAACTTAAGCACAGGAAGTTCCACCTGAACATGAGGAAGAATTTCCCTGTGCAGTCACTGAGCACTGAACAAATTGCTCAGAGAGGTTCATCTGGATGCAATCCTGTGGCATTGGAGATACTCCAGAGCCATCTGGATGCAATCCTGTGCCATGTGCTCTGGGCTGACTCAGCTTGAGCAGGAAGGTGGGACCAGATGTCCCAGTGTGGTCCCTTCCAACCTGATCCACCTATGACTCTGTGCTGGGAGCATCTCCCAGTGGGAAAGGCCCTTGAACATGTGGACTGTCAGTGCAGCCTTCGAGCAAGCAGAGAAGAGCCTGGAAGCTGCAGCAGGAAAGTGCCCCAGGGAAGCCGCCAACACAGTCCCACAGTGAAGCCACCACAGGGTGTGAGCTGCCAGACTGGTTCTGTGTGCCAGCTGCAGACCTGCCCGGCTGAGCTCATCCTGCCACCACCGAGCCTGGAGCTCCCCTGCCCTCCATCCCACCCTGCTCCTGGGATGCCCTGAGCAGGGAATCACAGCCATTCCCCTCTCACCTTGTTCAGGAGGGTCAGTTTGATCTCCTTGTGCCCACTGAAGCCTCCCTGCTGTGACTGTGGGGCCGAGGGCTGCTGGCTCTGGAGCAGCTGCTGGGATTTGTTGCCCTGGGTGGGCTTGGCTGACTTGAGGAGCTGAGAGGGCACATCCCTTTTCCTCTTCTCCTCCTTAGCACTGTCTTCTTTTTTTGACTTTCCTGTGGAAAGCAGAGAGCAGACGTGGTGACTTGGGAGTGATTCCTTGGGAGGGCAGGGCATGAGGCTGCTGCTCCAGGGTCTGGGAAAGCCCACACCAGTGAGCACAACACGTGGCCCTGAGGTTACAAGGTTCAGGGAAGCAGAATTGCCACAGAGAGGAACATAAAGGCCAAAGAACAAAAGGCTTTTGCCACTAACTCTGCTATGGCCTGAAAAGAACGGAGGAAGAGCAACATGATACTGGAGTTGTCCAGATTGACGTCACCTTCCAAAGGTGAAAGACAACAAGGAAGAGGCAGAACTCATGCAGGAAAAGGCAGGAGACAGGCAGAGGCACAGGGATGGAAGGACGGGGATGGAAACCTCCCCCCCACAGCCTCCCTCCTCCATGGCCTCACCCTCCTCACTGAAGCCTCTGTGCTCCCTAATCTGTGTCAACCTCTACTCAACAATGGAACCCACAGAACACCCAAGCAAGCTTCATGTGGATCTCTGCTCCCTCCTTGTTCTCCCAGGACTCCATAGAGATGAAAAAGAACCCAAAGCAGGTACCTCTACCTTTCTTCTGCTGTGCTGGGGTCGGGGACCTGGAGCTGGCCGAGGACACAGGGCTGGCCAGGTCCGCGTACATGTCCTCGGAGTCAGCGCTGCGCACGGAGCTGCTGCTGGAGGAGGCACTGGACACAGAGGAGACACTGCTCACACTCAGGGACCTGCAAAGAACCAGCTCATTACACTCGTGAAGACAACAAGAATCTCAGCCTCCATCTCCTGCATGGCTGGATGTGAGGAAGCTCTAAGGCAATGAGCAGGAAGAATTGTAGTTTCATAGTATGTTAAGGGGTTGGAATGGACCTTAAGAGATCACCTAGTCCCAACTGTCCCTAGGCAGAGACACCATGCACCAGAGCAGGTTGCTCCTGGCAACCTGCATCCAGCCTGGCCTTGATGAATGAATCATGGAATGGTTTGGGTTAGAAAGGACCTTAAAGCTCATGTTGTTCCACTCCACTGTCATGAGCAGGGACACCTTCCACCAGACCAGATTGCTCAGGGTTTTATCCAACCTGACCCTGATGAATGAATGATAGAATCATGGAATGGTTTGGCTTTGAACACTTCCAGCTTGTTCTACCCCTTGACCTCCCACCAGACCAGGCTGCTCAAGGCTTTATCCAACCTGCCTTCAAACAGGGTTGGGGCATCTACAGCCTCCTTGGGCAACCTGTGCCAGTGAGAAGGAAGTGTGTCCAGGAAGATCCAAAGCTGTGTGTCCTGAGGGGCTGATGATATGAAAACCCCAAATGTTAGATGTAGGCCTAGAAAGTAATGTTTATTTATAAACAGGATTGATACAACAAGTAAACAGGTCAGTGTTTGCCCAGGAGAACCAGAAGTGAAAGCAGGGTGTGACTATCAGTACAGGTCAGTGTTGTGGCCCAGGTCAAGGGTTCCCTGACAGTGTTTCTGCTCGTGGAACACACTCACTGTCACAACTGATAACGACAGGGAGGATGCCTACAAGATTGTTATCTCCTAACAGTGCCTGGAAGTGTTCCAGGCCAGGCTGGATGGGGCTTGGAGCAACCTGGGCTAGTGGAAGGTGTACCTGCCCATGGCAGGGGGTGGAACAAGATGAGCTTTAAGGTCCTTCCAACCAAACCATCCCACTCCAGGTATATGCTAACTCCATGAATATTCAGTCAGCCTCACCAGCCTGTTCTGCAGGCCACCCCAACCTGCCCTGCCAGCAAAGTCCAGGCTCCCTGGCTGTAAGCCGCATTGGAACAACTGCGGCAGCTTCAGCACAGACTAACCCTGGTACGAGCTGCAAAGCCTCTACCCAGTGGCATCATGATGGAGCTGAGCTCTGAGAGGTCATCTGGAAAGTCCTTCTCCAGGCTACAAGGCTGTCACAGCTATGGTGAAAACAGGGACACACCATATTTCCTACATTTCCCCCTTCCCCAACACCTGTAGGAACAGTACACACAGCCCCACAAGTAAGATCTGTGTTCATTCTTCCATCCATGCCCCAGCACTCTCTGAAGCTCTTGCATCACCAGCCTGAGCTGATGAATGTGACAAGCATGTGGTAAACAAGTCTAGATATCCCTAAAATAATGAGGATGTTGAACCTTGGAGCTTCACAGAGTTCAGAGATGTGAATTAGAGCAGCTCAGAGCCAAATCCTACTTAATCCACTGGTTTACACTACAGATCTGCTCTTAAATCTGTGTCCCTGAGAAGTGTTGTGTTTCAAGGCTATGTCTGTGAGGATTCAGGGATTCCTCCGTGTGAACATATGTGAAAACCTGAGTGAAGGACTTGAAAGAGGTTTATTTCATGACTCTCTGCTGGAGGGAGTTTGTTGTTTACACATCCCACAGTCTAACAGTCTTAGAACTAGACACTTGGGGCTAAACACAAAGGGAAGTGGTCATGCAGCTCTGCCAGGAGAGGACAAATAGCATTAGCTGGAACTTCTAGGGCTTTTCTGACCTCCCGTTAGGCCATGCATCTTCCCTAAGGACATGCAGTAAGCAGAAGAGGGAGAGGTGTAGGAGTGCAAAGCTCCATACCCTGAAACCATTCCTTTGTAAATTAATTAGGATGTGGGATCACCCTGGTCATAAGGAGATGTTTTGGTAGCAATTTGGGTTAAATGGGCAGTTGGGCATGTGACAAGATTATACCTTTGAATAAACCACAAGGAAAATATCACAGAATCATGGAATGGTTTGGGTGGGAAGGACCTTAAAGGTCATCCAAATCCACCCCCTGCCATGGGCAGGGACACCTGCCACTAGCCCAGGTTGCTTCAAGTCCCATCCAACTTGGCTTGGAACACTCCCAGGGATGGAGCAGCCACAGCTCCACTGGGCAACCTGTGTCAGTGCCTCAGCAGCCTCACAGGGAAGGATATCACCCTAATAACCAATCTAAACCTCCCCCACTTCAGCTTAAGGTCATTCCCCTTGTCTTAGCACTCCATTCCTTCGTGAAAAGTCCCTCTCCAATACTGTATTCCTGTCCCAATTCAGGACTTAGGATTTGTAACAAACCCAATCTTGTCCCCTCCTGGGCACCTGCAGCTTCTGCCACTGGAAGCTACAGAGAGTTTTCATTGCAAGAAACCACAGCACTGAAGAACAGACAATTTCTCCCACTTAAATAAAAGTAATGAAGGGTCAAGGCTGTACCTGGATTTCCTGGACCCAGAGGGAGAGTGGGAGACTGAGGCAGAGGATGATCTGGAATGAGATCTGGAGAGAGACCGAGACAAGGACCTGGACCGGGAGCTGGACCCACTGTAGCTGCTGGCACTGCCACTGATGCTGCCACTGATAGTCCTCCTGCAAGACAACAAACAACACACTCACACAATGATAACTGCAATGAAAAGGAGAAAGGGGAAGGAAAAGCCCCAAGAGAAACAAGTGATGCACAGTACAGTCACTCACTGCCCACTGCCCAGCCCTGAGCAGTGATCAGCCCCTTCCAGCCACCTCCTCAACTTTATACCCTGGGAATGGTGCTCTGCGGTGTGAAATATCCCTGTAGCCAGTCTGGGGTAGCTGTCCTGCCTCTACTCCCTCCCTCTTCACTGGCTGAGCCTGGGAAACTGCAAAGCCCTTGACGTAGGGTGAGCCACAAGCCAAACATCTGTGAGTTATCAACACCATTCTCATCCCACATCCAAAACACACCAGGCACTAGGAAAATTCACTCAATCCCAAGACAGCTTCCTACAGATCAGAACTGCTAACTAATGCAGTGGGAGTACCTTGCATTCCAGGCTGTACATACAATCCTACACGTTTTTGGGACTAACGCACCAGTGCTAACACAAACAGAGCTGGTTTGGCTTCTGCAGAGCAGAAAGCGTAGGGCAGTGTGAAAAACCCACCCTGAACCCCAGGATTGGAATAAAGAACAAGGGAAGGTGGCTAAAAGCATCTGAAGTTAATTTAACTAGTTAAAGTAAGACAAACTGAAACTAGAAGTGACAGTTTATAGGGAAACTGTCACAATTAGTTTTCACTCATGGAGTGAAAAGCTCATCCCAGGCCTTTTCCTCAGCTCCTGGGAAGAAGCAGGAGATATAATCCCACGCAAAATTAACTCAGGGTGCTTCTAAAAAGCTGAGTGGAAACCAGACTTGTAGCCATCTTCAAAACACAGGGACAAAAAGCATCACTTAGTGATCCAAGGAAACCACATTTGCCTTAGTGCAGGCCTGGAACACTCCCAGTTCCTTGTATGCTCCTAAAACAGGAATTTCTAGTAAATACAACTCTTACACACCAAACTGCTGCTTCCACAGACTAGGCAGCACTGCTATTCCAACATTTCTAATGTCTGAAGGATGCATGGCGAGTTCCTGCTGTACTCAGGTGATTCCTGTCCCTCCAGGAACACAGAATGTTGCCTGCATTTATCCTGGAACATTTTTTTAATGAATTAAGCTTGATAAACAGATTTAAAAACGGACAAGTGCTCCTTGTTTAAGCTATCAGAAGTCTCTCCTTTCACATGCAAAGGGAGGGCAAGAAGGCAACAAAACCAGGCAGGCGACAGAGAGAACAAGTCACTTGGAATGTTGGAGTCACACAGGAGGAAGGCAGGAAGAGGAAGCAGAGCAAGGAGCCTGCAACATGTGTACTGGCACAGCCAAAGCAGCAGCTTTCCCTCCTCTCCTCCAGTGGCACTGCTGGATGCTGAGGAAGCAGCTTCTGGGACCATATGGGAATCCTTCCTGTGTGTGTGTGTAAACAGGGCCCAGACCCATCACCACAAACCTCAGTCCTCCCTCCCTCACATCACATCTGTCTGCCCAAACACACCTGTTTCCTGCATCACCTCCACAACAGCAGCTCTTAAAGTGCCTTTTTAGCACTGCAAACCCTAATTTTGACACATTTCAGGTATTCCACCTACTTTCTCTCTCATCAACCTTCAGAGGCAGAGGCCACTTGCATCCACCACCATCTCCTTCTTCCCTCTCTTCCTCTCTCCTCCCTGCCCTAGGAAATGGGTTTGTTTAACCCAAAAGAGCACTGGTAGTTGGTACCTTGGAAAGAAACTCAGGATTTGCTGCTATCTTCCAGGGGATGAAGCCTCACTCCAGTCCTCAGCTCTCTTACCTCCTGGGTGGAGTCCTGGTCTGCCGTTCCTTCCTCCTTGCCTCCCGGTTATCCCCTGGCTTGGCTGTCTCTGGAGCAGCTGTGCTGAGTTTAGTGAGTGGCTGAGGGACTGGCAGGGCAGTGAGTTTCTTCACAGCTTTTTCACTGGAAAAAGCACAGTTTTCAGGTGTGTGATCCCAGGGGGAGGTACAGATCACAGACAGTCTCAGAAGGGATGAGATGAACTCATGTTTGTTGATTAGCATTACATAGATCATGGAATGGTATGGGTTGGAAGGAGCTTAAAGCTCATCTCATTCCACTCCCTGCCATGGGCAGGAACACCTTCCACTAGGCCAGGCTGCTCCAAGCCCCATCCAACCTACCCTAAATGTGATTTCTGTAGTTACAAACACTTAGTTATTTCATCAAACACAATTAAACAACAGATTCCCCCAAAGGGATTTGTCTCTCATATCTTAAGTCACTTTTTCAGAGACAAATTACTACACAATAGCCAATTCTGGAAGTATTTGACTTGCAAATCAACTCCTGCAGTAGTCTGTGTGGAATCACTGTTTCTTATCCAGCTGATTCCCTGCACTTTTCACCCAAAATACATACACCTACTTGAAATCTGCCCATCAGGATTCTGAAGGAAATGCACACAGTTAATGCCAAAATTCTCTTCTGTGCTCCATTACACAGATGAGGAGGGAGCAAAAGAGCCTGTGTGTGCAGGTATCTCCTGGATGTGTCCCTTGGCTTGTGTTTCCCTGTGGAGAACTTCATGGGAACACTGCTGTGTTATCCAGTACCTGCTACATGAGATAGGAATTGCTCTGGATCTTCAGTGCTCAATTCTGGGCTCAGAGCACTCCAGCCTCTGCTCTAGCATCTCGTTACTGCTCAACACATGATCATGGAATGGTTTGGGTTGGAAGGGATGTGAAATATCATCCAGTTCCACCCCCTGCCACAGGCAGAGACATCTGCCACTAGCCCAGGTTGCTCAAATCTGGCCTTCTGGGGATGGAGCAGCCACAGCTTCTCTGGGCAACCTGTGCCAGTGTCTCAGCACCCTCACAGCGAACAAATTCTCCCTGACATCCAAACAAACTCCACTCCATCTTAAGACCATTCCCCCCTGTCCAGTCACTCCATCCCCTGTCCAAAGTCTCTCTCCAGCTCTCTTCAGGCCCTGGCACATCCCCAGCACTAATGTCACACCTATTAACCAGAGAGGAGGTGGCTGCACACAGACACTTAATTCCTCCCCTAGTGCTTAATATCTGCATTTATCCCCTGCAGAACACAGGATTAAGCGCATACAATGTTATGGAGTGCAAATAATCCCTGTGCTGGTGCAGGTTGCTGTGCTGTTACCAAACCAGCACTGCCACGAGCACTGGGAGGGTGGAAAGACACTGCTGCAGGCAGAGTGTGGCCTCAGAGGGCTGAGCCCTGAGTGGAGAAGGGAAAAACCCCCAAAAGGCAGATCAATGAGCTACAGGAGTGTGGCAAAGGGGATTGTCCCACATTCTGGAGAATTTAGGGGGATTCCCATGGTGTCATTTCTCTGCAGGTCACCTGAAAAGAGGTGACATCACTGTAGTGTTGTGTCACCCTCAATGGAGCTGTAATTTACTATTAGAGAGTTTGTGAAATAGCTATTTTAGGAATTTAAAAGAGCAAAACTACTGTCAGAATGTGACCAAAGCAGCTTCAGAGCTCTAGTCCTGTTTTAGTTTGTCTCAGTGTTAATAGCTGATGAGGCTGAAGCATTTCTTTAGTCTAAGGCTGCAGCAGAGGGACGAATTAAACTCTCCTATAGCCCCTATATATCTGTACACCCAGAGGTTTAAGCAGTAAATCAGACGTGTTTAAACACTGACGTATACGTGCAATACTTAAGGTTAATTGTAGAGTTTAACTTGTTTTATTTAATAAGGAAAAGTGTCATAATTGAATGAAATAAGCCAAGTTAAACACTCTTCCGTGTGGGTTTTATTTGGCATCTTCCATTTCTTCCTGAAACTGCCAACCAGGTTCTAGAATCACGCAGTGTTTTGGATTGGAAGGAGCTTAAAGATTATATTCCACCCTCTGCCATGGTCAGGGACACCTTCCACTAGCCCAGGTTGATCCAAGCCTCATCCAGCCTGGCCTAGCACAGTCTCAGAGATGGAGCAGCTACAGTTGCTCTGGGCAACTTGTGCCAGTGCCTCAGCACCTCACAGGGAAGAATTCCTTCCTAATACCCCATGTAGCCCTGTCCTCCTCCAGTGTAAGGTCAGAAGGATCCAACTGAGGGATTAAACTGCTGTTTGGGCTCTGCACTGTGTTACCAGGAGGAAGATGAAGCCTTACCCTTTCCCAGGAGGTGGCAACAACTCCCCTTTAGCCTTGGCCAGTGGCTTGTGTGGAGATGGTGTTGGAGAAGGAGAAGGGGAAGATGAGAAGGAACGTGATCTGGAAAGGAAGGGAAACATCACTGCTCAGTCCCTGGGATTGCAGGAGGTTTTTCTGGCTCTCAGAGCACTTAGCTACCAACTCCCTCCTTCCCAGGGAGCTCGTCCTGAGCGTAGGCTGGCTTCATATTTGGACAAAAGTTCAACAAAACTTCTGTCATCAGAGAGTGGGAAAAGCAGAAAACAAATGGAAAAATAGGGTCAGCTGAAAGACAGGAATTCTCAGGAATTTCACAGCAACACCTGAGGCTGTGTCCATTCTCTCTCTGTACTCTATCCTTAGGGAGAATATGTCTGCAGGAAAATAAGTAGGATTTTGACTTCACAACTTGCTCCAACCTCCTTCATGTCCTGTAACTCCTGGTGCATCCTTTAAACAGGAGCAACCCTCCCCCCCAAATCTTGGGGGAAAGACACAAAAATACACCTAATCTCCAATATCCATCTGTAATTTCTGGGACACATGGAGCAAAATTAAGTGGTGCATCTCAAAGGCAACATATCAAAGGGCAAGAGGTGTTAGCCAAGCCCAGGACTGGCTCAAAAGGTGAGCCACTGGCAGGGCATATGCTGTGCTCAGCTGAGTCACTCCACTGCCAGGACTGGAATTAGAAGCCCTTTGTTGCATCCTAAGAGCTGGACACCTGGAGGACATGCCTTCTGAAGAACAGTTAGGCACTGGGGTGTTCCTCACTCTCCTACCTTCTGGGAAAGGCATCCAAGTGTGTCACCTGCATCTGGCACTGTCCTACAAGGAGCAGAGCTGGAATGGGGTGGATGGGGGAAGGTCAGCTGCTCCCCAGGTGAGATCAGCTCCCACTTGAGCATTTCCTAGGAGAAACCAGGTCTTCACAAGTGAGACAGTCACTCCCATCACCTGTGTGGTGTGATCCACTCTGGGTGATTCCAGCTCTGAAGAAGTGCCTATCTATGGAGCCAGTTCTCCTATTATGCATATTCCAACCTTGGGAAACTGTCTGCAGGGGCAAGGAAGGGGTAGAGGAATCAGCATATCTCTGTTTAATTAGCATGGCACCCTGAATTGCTACTTTGAAGTGTCACGACTACCACAAGACACAACTGCTTTAATAAAGAGATGTGATTTGCCTCCTGAAATAGATTCCAACACCATAGGACAGAGATGCTGCTGAACTTCTTCCAATCACAAAATGCAAATGATGGAAATGCTAATTTACCACAGGCATGGGAAAGATCCCAGCCTCAACAGCAGTGTGCTCGTGGGTGGGAGCACTGGGGAGAGGAGGGGGTGGCTGACAGCTCTGCTTCACCCAGCAGCCACCCTGGCAGCCTGCCTGGGTGTCTGTCACATTCATCTCACTCAGGGAAGTGCTTTAGCTCAAGAGTTAGTGATTTGCTTTAAGCAGCAGCAAAAAGGAGGTGTTAGGAAGTGTTTGGAAACCAGTTCAGCATTGTTTTCAAAGCCCAGGGGCTATTACCTGGACCTGCTGCCTGAGAAAGAGCTGTGCCTTGAGGAGCGACTGGAGTAAGAGCTGTAGGAGGAGGATCTGGAACGAGACCGTGAGGAGCCTGAACCAGAGTAGGAGGATGAACGAGACGAGGACCTGAAAGAAAAACATTCAAACTTAGCACCACTCAGAAAGGTCTCTGAGACTGTTCTTCCCAAGTTCTGCCCCCAAACCTCCTGCCTTCTCCTCAGTGACCTGTCAGCACTCAGCCCCACTCTGCTTTTAGGGAGGATCCTGTTCCTCTTTCCAAAGCCTCCCTTCCTTCACCTACTGACTTTCCATCCATTTGGAAATTCCTTTCACACATTTCCATGCCTTTTCACCACATGATCCAATGACAGATGAGGAGAAAACAGAGAAACCTCAGGTGCAGTGATCCCAGCAAGAAAATCTGTTTCAGAAGGGCTTTGGCTTTAAATTCTTATCTCCAATTCATGTTCCTCATTCCTTTTAGATACTTTCCCACTCTCTTCAGGAGCATCAAGTTCAAGCATTTAAAGGAAATGGACCCAGCTTATGCCTCAAGGCTCCCCGACTCAGGGAGTTTCTTTAGAAGGGTGGTTTATGTCTTGTTTTACACCTGTTGGTTCCTAAGCCCAACTTGGCTCTGTCAAGCCTCCAAAATCCCAGTCTCCCCCAGTAGCATCAATATGCTCTGACTGGAGTGGCCTTAGCTCATCCCTCCAGCACTCCTGGAGTGACTAGACTGCAGTTTTACAGATTCCAGCTCCTTCTGCTCCTATTAAGGTCAGTTTTCATCTAGGTGAGTTCATAATCACCTGGACTGGATCTAGGTCTAATTTACCTCAAAAGTGGCTTTTCCAAGAAATTGCTTTTCCTTCATCTTCAATAGGCCACAGCACCCACAGTTCCCTGAGTCCTTTGGCTTCCATCTCACTACCTGTCCACAGGCGGCACTGAGCAGCAGGCCACAGAATCAGAGAATCATCAAGGCTGAACCATGATCAAGTCCAACCCTTAACCTGTCACTGCTGTAACCCCTAAACCATACCCTCCAGCACCACATCCAGACACCTCTTAAACACCTCCAGGGATGGTGACTCCACCACCTCCCTGGGCAATATCCCAGTGCCTGAACACCTTAAGAGGGAAATAATTTTCCTAATATGAGTCCTGAACTGCTTTCCCAGACATTGTATTTTAATTTATTCCTTATTTATAACATGATTTTATTATTCTAGAATCATGGAATGGGTTTGGAAGGAACCTTAAAAGCTCATCCAGTTCCACCCCTGCCATGGGCAGGAACACCACCTTCCACCAGCCCAGATTGCTCCAAGCTACATCCATTCTGTCCTTGAGCACTTCCAAGGATATGAATTCCACTCTGGACAGCCTATTCCGAACATCTCAACACTTTCCTTGGACAAGAACAAGCCACATTCCATTCCCAGATGCACTAACCTGGCTTGAATGTGCCACACACTCTTCCCCTTCCCTTACCTGGAGGAGCCAGATGCGGATGCTGAGGAGGCTGAGGTTTTCCGGCGCCTCCGTGCGCGGCTGGGGGAGACACTCAGGCCCAGCTTCTTCTTGGGAGACTTGGATCGGCGCCAGGGATCCTTCCACTCATCCGCGCGCTTGGACGGCGCTGAGCCCAGCGGGGCTGCCTCCTTGTCCTTCTTTGCAGCATCAGGCTGGCGGCTGCAAAACAAGGAGCAGGGAAGCCAGCTGGGGTTTGGAATCAGGGAATCAGTAAGGTTGGAGGACAACTCCAAGATCATCAAGTCCAACCCTTAACCTGTCACTGCTG